GACGAACAGAACAATCAAATGGGACTATTGACAACAAAGTCTAATAATAATTCTAGCTATTTCTAATTTTTAACCGCTTATGTGCCCTGCCAATCAAAATGAGTGGATCAATGATTGTCGTCGTCATCTCAACTGGTCTATAAACTGGTTTGAGGATATAGCATTGTTGCGAAATTAACAGCAGACAAAAACATTTCCTATGAACTGCGCAATACATGCTTACCGGGGTTCTTCGACCAAAAAAGCTGAAGGTTGTGAATAAATAAAGCCAAAAGAGTAATATATATTTTTTCAGGATTTATTTGAAAACCTTGTAATTAATAAAAAAACACTGGTGGGACTTTTCTTGAATACTTTTCATGGTATCGCCCACTCTGACATTTGTAGCAACAGCGCGAGCCAACGTATCGTGCAACTAGAGGTTCACCGCGAGACAACCTCCACATCAACAGCGCTAGTATCAGATATCAACAGGGCTTTTATCAACCCTATAAATTGCAATCATACAACTATGCAAGTCCTTATACAAATCAAAACTTGTTCTCTAGTTGATTGAGCAAAAGAAAAGTTTCATAAGACGGCAACCGACAAAAATAGTAATAAAAACTGCGTGTTGCTTTCGATGAAATTTACGGAAAATTTATTTTTTTCGTGTTTTTTTTATTCAGAATCTTTTCGAAAACCGTTTCAAGATCAAAATCAGACTTCAAAACAAATGTTTTTTTTTGCGCAGGATAAAACAATGGGCATATCTTTAACGGGTATAAGATAAAAAAAGTTTTAGTTCAAAACTCTATGTTACATTCCATCAATTTGTGTAAAAGTTGGGGTGTTCAAAAATTGCCACTAAGACCTTAAGTTTGACTAAATTATGCGCGCTGTGAAGGATTTATCGATAATGCTGAAAGATTAAACATGAATTATTTTCGCGCGGCGAAATACCCCTCACTCAAAGTTTTTTCATTGTGATTAGAGCAGTTATTGTTTAATATTGGCTGTTGTGGGAAGGAAAAAATCGAAATTTCAAATTAGTGTCGAATACAAAAATTTTTTGACACTTCCTAAAAGGCAGTCTGATCATTCAGTGATTTGCCCTAAAATGAGCGTTCGTTTTACCATTAAACAGCTCTTCTTTAATCAATGGAAAAACAATACTCACTGTTCAAGGAATTTATTCGAAATTTAAATAACTTTTGATGCCAAGATGTTCCTCTAACACGCTCAAAAACAGTCCCAAATTACTAGCAACTCATCTCAAGTTGAAGCAATTTTGGCACGTTTCAACTTTAATAGATTTCGCTCTCTGAGCTTTCGTGGAACATATTGCCCATCGCAAGTTTTACCCTATTCCGAGTAGCTTGGGAGTGGCTTGTTTACGCCCATAACTGCCAGACATTCTCAGAAATAATTCATGTCTCCAGATAAGCCCGGTTGAAATTTGTTTGCAGAGCAAAAATTGTGAGCAATGAACTAAGCCAATAAAAAAAAGGCTAGCCGGTTATTGTGCAAGTAGCACAGAATGTTCCGACCATGGTCTTAAAAACATACAACAACGTTTTTCCAATTTTTGTCGTTGTTTTCGGCGTGGTGGATTATGTATATTAGGTACAAAACACTGGTGTATAAAAAACTGGGGATTACGTATATTCGACAACCATAAAAAAGTCAGCAAAAAGAAAAACCATTTTTTGTGAAAAAAATACAAGAAAAACGAAAAAAAAAAATAAGAAAAAATTTTTCGAAAAATGTTTCAAGTTCTTTAATAAGTTTCAAAAAATTTTAAAAAAACTGCAAAGAACTTGAAACATTTTTCGAAAAATTTTTTCTTATTTTTTTTTTCGTTTTTCTTGTATTTTTTTCACAAAAAATGGTTTTTCTTTTTTAAAATTTTTTGAAACTTATTAAAGTTTCAATGTGATGGTAAGTTTCAGAAAATTTTTTCGCCGCCCGATCTTACCAAGTTCTAAGATAGTGTTTAGATTTGCCATGTTATAGATTATAAAAGTTAAAAAATCATTGTATTAACATAGGAAAAAGGTTTCCCAATGTATTAAGATAGGGAATGGTAAGGTTTCAGTGTGATGTAAGAGAATGGTGAGAAAAACGGTATTTTTTTGGATTTTGTATGGAAATGTCTAGGAGCTCGTTATGTAATTGATGAGTTTGATGTGTGGATTGTGTAATATAATTCTCAAAATAAATTCAGGCTACCGCAATGAAATTAAGTTTTTACGTTTTAATTTAAGCTATTCTAAGTTTTTAAGCCATAATAGGACTGCTCGCTCGCTTTATTTGCTCGAAATAAGATGAAAATTCAAAAATTTCAAACCAATTTTTCTCAATAATGGGAAAATTTTTTCAACCTTTTTTGTAATAGTGCGAATCACGACTGTAAGGGCTTTAAAGTGACATATCATTCAACTCAGTCCGATGATTATTTGTGGTACCTGATTTTGCGTGGACAACAAAAAGAAGAAGAAAAAAACTAAAACACACCCGAATACAAAGTTCTTTCCCACTTTTAATGGTCGGAACGATAACCATATTTTTGATAACCATTCAAAGCAGTCGAGGAGATAGTATTAGTCAGGAGGATCTAGGATTTTCACGAGGGGGATTTTTGAACATTTTTTCATTTTTCATGCCGACCAAATTGATTTTCTGAGCTCCTTTCCGAACAAATTGGCCAAAAAAAGCGTTTTCGGGAATTTTTTAGGATTTGACCAAAACTCTCCGCCCCCTCCTGTCTCCCTCTAAATCCGTTACCGGTACTAGCCATTAAGATATTAAAATTAGGCTCGGTCTATCAATCTGGGTAGACAAATACAAACATATTCGTACGTTTTGAGTTTCTTTTTCAAAGCGGGTTGTGACTTGTTGCTTTAAACGTAAAATTTTCTATTATTACAGATGTTTGCCACCCACCTGGAACAATGCTAGCAAAAAATGGATTATCTGTACTCTGTGTATGTTTTTTTCTTCAAAACAGTCTTTTCTTCATTTAACTGGTTTGGGCGGAATGTTTGTATGTTACACGATGTCCTGAGCTCAAAATAAAAAAAAATTGCCACATGCAAAAAGTTGTATTAACAGTTTTTTTCACCTGTGACGATATAACAAAAACCCAAAAATGTAAAACAGACGCTCCTAAGGTTTTTCTCTACTATGCTATTATACAAGGTCGAATTAGATTGTTCGGACCAAGTTTAGAAAACTCGAAATTTAAAATACCTTTATTTCAAAATTGATTAATACTAGACACAAAACAATGAAGACAAAACTTGCTTAAAATTGTATCAAAATTTCAATGGTGCAAATTGTTTTGCGAATTTCGCGTCAAAGATTTGACCCAAAAAACCATTTTTGACTGAATTCCCCACAAAAATATATCAAAGTGAGCCTTTTATTTAGACCAACAAAATATTAGGAGGACTTAATTGTCTCAATTTTGAATAATTGAGCTTATTTTCGTTTGATATCCAGAAAAGGTCAGCTTTAATATATAAAGTATCGTTTTTTATTTAGAAAAAAGTTCTAGAGGTTTAGCCTCATGTTTTAAAGATGATAACCTTAAAATGTTGTTGGGGATAGTAAGAGGATTCATTTGATATAACTTTGTCAATAACTGAGTCGTTACATTCTGACTTAATTTCGATTGAGTAAAAAACCAACAACACTCTATATTTTATACCATATTGATTTTGTTTAAACTTCGAGCGAATTTTGTGTTCTTCGTCGTTTGGCTAAAATCAGTCCAATTTACGAAAACGAGTTTCAAATATCAAGTTTTATTCGTTTTGTCCGGATAATTTAGGTCAACACTGTACCATAAAAATTTACTTTGCAATTACTTTTTGTTTTCTTCTGTTTAAAGTTTTAATTGCTTTGGATTTGTACTTGAATCAAAGAAACCTTTCAGAGGATAACGGAATTCAGTTGTATTTTTCTGAAAAATTTTTCATCATCATTTTTTCAGGTTTTGAAATAAATTTTTAATACTTCCGGTTTAAAGAGGACGCCTGAGACCATAACTTTAAACCTTTCAATGGTCGCAATTAGATAATTCGTCACATGACAATTTTTTCAAAGCTTGTTGCATAGTATTTCTATGATAAAAACCAGATTGAACGACACACTATTAAGGCATGGTTGATTGGTTGCTGTGCATTGCTAAATCAGTTGGTTCCGAATAACTTTGACATATGAACATTTGAACGTTTGGCCGTTTGACATTTGAACCCAAGCTTGGAACCTTTCAGATAGTCGGAAGGATGCAAGCAACTTTCTTCACACGGCAGATTACTCTACAAAAAATTGGCAGACATAGTCCTGTTTTGACAAATCAGCAGTTTTGCTTGCATTTCTTAGAAAACTCGCCAATTCTTTCTTTCGAATACTTCGGAAGTTTTGATCCCCACAATAAAGCAGATACATACGGCGAGCTAGCGAGAGGCCACTCGGAAGTATTTTTCAAATTATGACAAAATAGAACAGTCAAAGTGAGACAAAATTTTCAAGAAAATGTTGAAATTTAAAAGCGCATTTGGCCGAGTGATGAAGTCATAAGTCTCAAGGTCAAAAGGTTTGAAGTTCAAATCTCGGGCTCGACAAAAAATTTTCGTAATTTAGTCAATATTTGAAGTTAAAAAACCCAAAAATGGGTAAACTAGGGCAAAGTTGAAATGGGTTGACTTGATTGAGCCAAAAGGGAAGAGGGTGGGAAAAGCTTGATTGCATTGATCATTTTGCCGTTTTCAAATCGGGTCTAGCTCAATTTTGAAATTTTCTGGGAAAAAGTTCAACTTACAAAAATTTATTGAAAATTATTGCTTCGCAATATCAACTTTGGAAAATAAATTGACTTTAAATTATAGTTTGATGTTGCTGCTGCACCCTTTTAGGAAACTCAGAAGTTTACTTGGGTCGTAGGCCGCAACCAATTCTGAAAGGTTTTGTCAAATTTGACATAAAGAGGTTTTTTATAACGTGACACTCTTTGCCCGGCACACATTTTTTCGATCAAGATTTCAGCGTTTTTCTGTTCGTCTTGAAATTTTTCAATGAGCTTGGGAAATGATGGGTGCTTGCCATTCACGAGTTTGACGAAGTTGCTATTCCAACCTTCAACAGCATTGTTGGTTCTGGGTCGCCCGGTTATTACACGCTGATGACAACTCCAGCTGTCAACTTCAAATCTGGGGTTTTGACGAGTTCCATTTGCCGCCGAGAGCCGACCAACGTAATTGTCCTCAAAGTAATTGAAGATTGGGTGGGCTGTCTCAGGGCATGTCTTCTGAAGAGTTTCGAAAGCAGTAGAAACATCACTTACAGGCAGGAAAGCGATACTCAGCAGCATTCGGACATGCTCTCGGAATTCCAGATCTAGTCTGTAGTTGTTTGTGTTTCCAGTAGTCTGAATGTGACGCCAGACGCTTTGGCTCAAATGGAAATAACAGTATTGATTTTGTACAATTTTGGATACTGAATTGAACGCATTTTTGACCGCTATTTCGAAATCAATGGTGGCTCGTTCAGGGAATTCAATGTCGAAGCAGCTCAAAAGTCGAAAATACGTTTCCTCTTTCTTGTCTGGAAGCAATGCATACACAATAGGAATCAGAATTCCCTCGACTGAAGCGTGGATGGTGTATATCTGAAAGAACACACTCGGGGCCGTAGAAAAGGTGCCATCGCAGAACCAATCATCAGCGCCACTGAGAATGTCGAGTCCCGGAAGAGTGGTGAAAACCATTATTCGCTTGGTATCATTAGGTCCAGAGTCAAAATGAAGGAAACGCTCGCCGCTGTGTGTCACTTTCAGCAACTCTGGCAGTTCAAAATCAGTTAGGGAATGGGGTTCCTGCATTCTGGGCCGTTTTTCCTGTTTGACTCTATTAATTGTCCTCTGGTTGGCAGAATAGCTCGGGATTACTGCTGCAGTCTCTCTGTTGATGTCTCTTTGTACGGAAAGAATTGTTTGACGGGGTGGCTCATCTGACACAACTGCTTTTGTTTTGAGAGCTGTCCTGAATTTTCGTTTTTCAATATCGGCTGGATCGGGAAAATTACTGTGTTCATTTATGATAGTGACGTTATCTTGGAAAGTGCGCACACGGCCATTCATTGCATTTCGATAAACTAGCATTTCGTTGTTTTTATTTGTCATAAGAATTTCCATTGTCAACACGAACTCGAGAGCAATAACAATGAAACTATGATCTCTCGTGTCTACGTTTGGCAACATTATCAATCAAGATATAATTGTGTAGGTATGTGTAAATGATTTGAGTCCTGTGTTTATTTCGTCTCTAATTGGCTACGCGAAGTAATTTCTGGTCTAAGTGCTCAGTTGCGTGGCCTTATCGATTTAATCCTTCCTATTGAGAGCTTATCAAATTAATCCGGTCATTAACTAGTGTGGCAATAGCCTGGACAATTTTGGGACAATTTTGTCTGGGAACCAAATGTCTTGGACACTTTTTGCATTTTGGACTGTTTTTACCGGGACATAAATGTCTGGGACACAAATGTCCTGACACGAGGAAAACGCTTTTGGGGTTATGGAGTTTGTCTTATAATAAAAATCTTTCCCCCCGTTAGTTCCTAAGACTAAATAAAAATTTTTTCTCTTAATCGAGAAAACTTGGTTTTTGTAAGGCCGAGAATAGCAGGACGGAATTTGTTTGCTATTCAGAAAATCGCAGGGCTAAGGTGTTGAATTGTGACGTCATTCCAATATTTCTTTACAATTGGTTTTCAGCTCAGCTGAGCTTTTATCTCAAAGACTCTAAACTTTAATTTCACCTTTTCTGTGCACAAAAAAAACGAGTGAAATTTTTCAAAAAAATTTACTTGCTGCGAATTTGGCCGAAACATTTTGTGCTAGCTTAAAACCCAGCGTGACCTCTTGTTTGACTTTATTAGGTCTCTAAAAATGCCGAACCTGACATGTTAATGATAGATACTGGTAATCCGTCCGTTTCCGAAATCGCCTCCCAAATAAATCATAATGAAGTGTTTTTTTTGTGTTTTTCATGTTATGAGTCATTTTGTCATTTCTAAAGTTGACATCCATTGATGCCCTAAAGCTAAACGATGTTTTATTGTCCGTAGTCTCAAAGTTTTGCGGTTGATAATTTAATTCAAACTTTGATTGACACGTGACTCGTGACTTCAGACTACGAGCTACCAAGTCTCATTTGTAAAACTCGACTACTTTAAAACCGACCATTGAAACTAAGAACTATTAATAGAAATTACAGACATAAATTCATAAAAACGTACAAATTTATCATAAAAATTTACTTACACATCTAAAGATAGAGCAGTTCTATAATTTTTAATCTTACAAAAGAAGAGAAAATTAAGCGCCCAAGTGTTTTCGCTAATATATAGCTAGCTTAAAAACCATTGCCTCATTTTACAGAATTTTTTTTTACAGTTATTTTGTTTGAACTAATATTTATTCTAACGAATTGTCTCCTCCAGGAAAGCGTCATCAAACTCAATTTGCAGTCAGCGATGCCCTTTTTGAACTGGTTTAACAATTTGAAACAGCAGTTTAATATAGGACAAGATTCCGACAACACTCCGAGTTTACGAAACGCGCCGAGCTCGACTTCAGAAACATCAAACGGTGGACCATCTGCTCCGAATTCCAACAAGGAGCGACCAAAGAACTGGGATGATAACATCATTTGGTATGTTTACTGAAGAACTTGAAACTTGATGAAACCAAATACGGACACGAAAAACTGGAAAACAAACCAGCAAAAACAAATGCGGCGGCAAAACTAGATTAAACTATAGAATTAAAGATACAAAAGTAAAGACTATCAATAGATTATTGAAGTATAGATAATGTAGTTTTTAATTAAAAGGTGTTAGCTTTGTTTTTATCTTCTAAAAACCGGCTTTTCAAAGAGGAAGCATATTTCATGCCAAAAGACCGAATGCACGCAAGTTAGTTCAACCAATCAGATTTAAGCATAAAAAACTCCAAAAATAAGCACAAAAAGTTGTCCGTTTTGGACAGTTTAAAGGCGGTTGTCTTTCTGGGCGCGTATTTTTTTTTTGTTGAGCCAATGACTCTCACTTCCCGGGCTGAAGTGCTCGAATAATGATTCGACCGAAACGGTCGAACGATTTCCGATTTCAAATTTTTTAGTCGAACGATGCCCGATTTCGACTTTTTGAGTCAAACGATGTCCGTTTCTTTGTTCGACTTTACCGGTCATTGTTCGACTTTGCTCGACTTTGTTCGACTGCACCGGACATGTTCGATTTTGTTCGACTTTGCCGGTTTTTGTTCGTATTTATCGCACATTTTTCGAGTTTGCTCAACTTTTTCGGGAAATTTTTCGCTTTTACCGAGAGTTAATCGAACCGTCCTAATTTACGACAAAACTCGGACATCATTTGACCATTTTTGTCAAACCATGTGTCAAAAACACCTCTGCCTGCGCAGCAGCAAATAATAATAGAAAATGCCTCAAACTTGGCAGTCGTAGGTTCGTATAGCCCGGGTTGCGGTGTTCGACTTATGTTTCGATCAACTAGACCCCAATTGGCTATGTTTCAAAGGAAAATGGCTTAGACTGTGTTCAATGAAAGCCAACTATGTTTCGACCGACACGACCCCAAGGTTGGCTATGTTTTGAGCGACTCGACCAGAGGAAAAAGTGTTCGACAGTGTTCGACGCAAGCCAGCGTCTTTACCGGGAAATAAAGGATACTGTTTGACCCATGATTCGACTTTGTTCAGCAATTGTCTTCGTGCGACCGTCTTAGTTTGCAACGAAAATCGGACGACTCCGTTCGACCGTTTCGGTCAAATCATGAGTCGAGCATCTCAGCCCGGGTTTATTAGTTTTCAGATGCTTTTCAGATGCTTTTCGAAGAAACAGCGGAATATTCAAGCTATAGTTGGTTTTTTTATTCAGTCAAAGTAATCGTTTCTGGAAAAAATTTCAAGTGTTAAGACACATTTTACATCATTTTCCCCATTATTTTCAAAAGTCGATAAACGTAGTCATAAGCAGTCGAATCATTAATCATGATGATTTTTTTGTTGTTTTTTTTTGTCTTAAAATTTGTGTTCATAATCAAACTTAAAAATTCACGGTTGATTTATGACTTGTTTTTAAAAATTTGTAAGTTCAGTTTCTGTCCTTTGTTAGAAGGAAGGATTCTATTGAACAGCAAAGCTGTAAAAATTACGACAAATTTCAGTAAAGGATTTTCTATTTCAATTTTCCCAGCAAAAAAAACTTTATTTTTGGACCCAGTTTTCTCAAATGACTTTGAAATTATCAAAAAAAATTGCCAACCTTAAATTGTTCTTGAAATTTGAAAAACGATAGGGTCATGTACTTTTCTGCTTTGGTGCGTTTAATTCAAACTGTTTGTCAACTTGTAAAAATCCGGGGGTTTGAAAATTGCTGATAAGGCTATGCTCTGGACTAATTTATGCGTGCTGTATAGATTTTTTTACGATGCTGAAAACTTAACGCAAATTTTTTACTTATCATTACGAAATTTTTGCAATTTGGTCGCATTAATTTCGTGTGATTGCCTTGATGTTTTTAGACATGATGTTAGATAATGTCCAAAGTTTATGGTGTGTTAATTTTTTTCACCAAAAACACTCTGATAACAATTAGGGGCAGTTGGGAGAATTAGGGCTTTGCGGAACATTGGTTTTCTTTTTAGTCAATAAGTTCAAACAATCGAGTTGTAAAAAGGAAAATTATTTTGACGTCTGGGCTATAAGATACTTAATTTTGCCGGGTTGTTATATTAGTGGTTGGTTTGTCATACATATACAGTCAACCAAGCAAAAAAAGCTTATTTTTTGAAAAAAGTTTTCTACGTTATGAGTAAATTACTTCAAGAATTATCTATTAAAAAGACTTTCTTCGTGATCATTCTTAAATTTAAATGAAAAAAATTAGAAAAAGGCCAGATAATTCCCAAAATAAATTTTTCGTTTCTTCGGGTCTTAATAACAATCCGTCAATTGCAAAATGGGGAAAATTTGTTCTCTTTTTGCAACTTTTAGATAACAGGCTTAAGTTATCAGACCAGTATATTACAGTCAAAACATAGCGTTTTGAATGGTCTGAAGATGATAAATTTTGGTCCACGCGGTCTGAACATAAAACCACGACCTGAACTTGGGATGCATCATCAAAAATCAAATCGATTCCTGTTAATTCTGTTTAAAACATGAAAGCCCCATGGGTTTTAGTTAGTTGTTTTCTTTTGTAGTCTTTTTGATGTGAATGCTGAAATACGTTGATTTTTAGCATCAACAGAACAATGTTTGTTGAAGTCTGAAAGGGAAAAAAACTTATTGTTCCGACTTTCGATGCGAAAGTAACGGAATAATTGTGCTCGGAGTGGGTTTTTTTTCTTCACATAATTTTTGAGTTTTTAACTAACCATTTTTGACGGAATTTTTTTAAAATATCATTGAAAAAGTATCGTTGTCTTGAGCTTAAATTTGAAAAATTTGATCATTTTTTGTAAAGTTATGGGGGTTTAAAAATTGCCATTTTGACAATTTGGGACAATAAACGCGCGATATATTTCGCGCTTTTAATGCGTGAGCGTAGATTTAATATTTCTTAGAAAACGTTCTAAATCGGTTGGAGAACGCCCGTTGTTCCGGCCTTCAATGCGAAAGTAACGGAATATTTGTGCTCGGAGTGGGTTTTTTTCTTCACACAATTTTTGAGTTTTTAACTAACCATTTTTGACAGAATTTTTTTAAAATATCATTGAAAAAGTATCGTTGTCTTGAGCTTAAATTTGAAAAATTTGATCATTTTTTGTAAAGTTATAGGCGTTTAAAAATTGCCATTTTGACAATTTGGGACAATTAACGCGCGATATATTTCGCGCTATTAATGCGTAAGCGTAGATTTAATCTTTCTTAGAAAACGTTCCAAAATGGTTGGAGAAAGCTCGTTGTTCCGACCTTCGATACGAAAGTAACGTAATATTTGTGCTCGGGGTTGGTTTTTTTCTTCAGACAGTTTTCGACTTTTTAACTAACCATTTTTGACGGATTTTTTTATATCGCTTAGCTTAAAAATGAGCCTAAAAAATTGAAAAGATAGTTCTTCTTTGATCATTTTTTGTAAAGTTATGGGGGTTTAAATATTGGAGTTTTGGCCAATTTGGGACAATTAACGCGCGATATTTTTCGCGCTATTGATGCCTAAGCAGAGATTTAATCCG